AGTCAAGCATCACTGGCTGCAGTCAGTGTGCGGGTGGGTGACCCACTTGAATCAGTCTTCGTAGGGACCGAGGGCGTGCGGTATTGGTCCTCATTAAATTGTTCTTTCGTAAAGTGCTCAACTTCGCGCACAGGTTGTCGTGCTACCAAAGCAGGGGTGCCATCCTCTCTGCAGAGGATCGAAAGTGCGTTGGCACGTCTTCAGATCATCCTCTGTGATGTTTCCCAGACAGTCGCCTATAGCCTATTGTGCTGCTCTAGTGCAACATAAATAAAATATCTACCTACATTGAAGAAACTTTGCTTGTGGATGATTGTTTATCCACAAGTTTTATCCACAAGTTTAAAACTAATGCAATACATAACATTTTAATAATTTTTAATTAAGTGAAGAAAATATTTGAAATGACGAATTTCACACAAATATATTCTGTCATCTCCTCTCAACTTTCCAGAAATCAAACTAATTTACATATTGTAAATCTCGTCTTGCTCAATAATAATTAGATCGTTTTGATAATGTTTTTATTTTTATATAAATTTTAATTTTCCACCCTTATTTTGCCAGTGCATCCTCAATCATTAAAATTTTTCTTGACATTAATTTTTTTACTTTCCAAAACTTTAACTAACATTAAATTCTTTATCCAAAGACACTTATATATAATTCTTATTATTAGATACCTTTAATGACGAAATATTCTTAGAAAGCCCTGAAGCTTCATATCGAATTAATTAAAGGACTTTGTTTAACATATTGTTTCAGCCTCGTTCAATGTTTCGAAGTATTTCCCCAGAGGAGGAATCTCAAGTTAATCGAGAAACACAATTCGCCATTATCGGATATATGTCGAAAAGAACATAACTCTAGCGATGAACTACCCTAATCCATCAGGTTTTTACCAGTGGCATGTACAGACAGTATCGCTTTTGAAAGGAAGACTCTCTTCTCTCAAGGTCGACATCTTCGCCAAATCGACCGGAATAAATAAAGGAATAAATTGGCTTGGGGATATTGTTAGGATTTGGTGACAAAGGGCTGTTTGTTATGCTTAAGAAAAATGGCTTTATGCAGATCATGAGGATAAGTTTACTAAGTTAATAGATTTAGCTCATCTGTATCAGAAATTCTAAATGCAGAAGTCATTTTATCATCTAATTAGAACGGATTTTCAGCACGGACTTAATTAAATTTAATCAGCAAGATCATGACTGTTTTAGAAGTGTTTTGCTTTGGTATGCCATAGCATACAATATAGTTTAGTTTGGAAAAAAAATATAAAATGTAACAACATTAGAAACTAAAATAAGCCGTGTAATTTTTTAATCAATGTGATTATATGGAGGACGTTAAGTTGCAATTTAAGATTGAGTTTGCGCCGACCTGGTGGTCGAGTGGTTAGCGTGCCTGACTGCGGAGCCGCTGGTCGCGGGTTCGAATCCTGCTCAGGACATGGGTGTTTCTTTCTCTCCGTGTTCTATGTTCTTTCTCCTTTGTGTGTGATTGTCATCATCATCATCGAAATATATCTGGGTGCCTGGGGCTGCTAGCGGCCTTTTTCCCATTCGTCTTGTTGTGTGTGAATGTGGCGCGCCCTATAAACGGGCTTGTGCGGCGTGGGCGACGCTGCTCCTCCGCCGTGGCTTCGCCACAGGTGCCCACTGGGTAACGAGAAGAGAGTAGCAGTTCTGGCATTCCTGTGACCAATGGGACAACTCCCAAGTACCCGCCATTAAAAAAGAACGATTGAGTTTGCCACTCTGCCCACAACCATTTGATCTGCTTCAACATATCCTGCTTTGGATCTTGTACCATTAAACTTTATATTCAATCAAGCCACTCAGTCCGCCTGGTAGGTAAAGTATTACCCTACCGTGTCCTGTATTGGGTTTCAGTTCCCTGTGCTACAGACTGGATACCTGATAGGATTGAGCCTTTTCCAATCGTGTTTTAGTGTATAGGAATTTACTCTTATATTTAAAGTGGTTTCAAACAAGGGACAGTTCGCTTATGGCTGGGTGTATGGAAAGCATGGTACGTAGACCGAGTGATAATTATCACTATCTACTCTCCGATCAAGCCGACCGGTCTGTGTATGGGTCCTTACTGTGGGAGCAACGTTTTCCCACCTAATATATGGTGCCTCTGAAAGAGAGGCCAGCAAATCTGCCCTGTAAATGCCTGAATTGACGAAAAATGTTAACACAGGTGGGCATTGGAAGAAAAAAAACTCTCCGATCAAAATTGTATTAGTGTTGTGCGTGCATACGCCAGTATTGTCTTCGAATTATCACTAAGGATAGATCCCAAACTGTCGTCAAATACTTTAGTTAACAATCAAATCAAAATTGGATTTGATTTTCTCTCTAAGGAACGGATTTATTTAACCCCTTCCTTCTCGCTCCCGTGAAAATGACAGGATGAGGTTTCCCCTCTATTTCTCGCTCCCGTGATATTAACGGGGTGAACTGTTCAGTAGTAACGCGCCAATAAGAATAAAACCAATTCATTTCTTTTGCCCAGAAAACATTTTATTTCACATTTTACACACCAGATGGCAGCACCAGGATATTTTTAAGGTAATCGTAGATAGTTAGTTTATTTTAAACTAGATGTTTGCACTTATCAAATACGTAATACAAACACAAAAGTCAAAATAATAGACACTTTTATGACTGTTTTCTTGAAAATTAACCGATCGTTAAGGGGTTAAATGTTTTTAATATTCAACTACGTTCTTATTAGCGTCTATCATGGCTGGGAGTTATTACCTCTCCTCCTAATGATCCAAATTTCTGAGGTAGCAGCTTCGATTGAAGCCGTAATCTTGTATGCATTTTACTGATACGCTACAATAGTTCATTCTCTCAGTTCTTCAGTTTTTCAAAAGAGTGGAATTTGTTTGAGAGCATAATTTGCTTAAGAGCAAAGTTGTTAAGATGAAATTAAAGAAAAACGTTTCAAAATAAATAAATTGAAAAACCCATATTCTACGGCAATCATTTTTATTTTTAAAAATTCGATGATAAAAACTTGTTCATTATGTAAAAAATTAAACTAATTATTCTGAATAACATTTCGTCTGGTTATACTATTTTGATCTATTTATATCTTTGAGAAATTTGGCAAATGTATGACTGTAGCACATATTTTATGGAGTCATGCACTTTTTTTATTTGTATCAAAGGAAAAAGTTGAGGAAATGTAACTGCTGTCAGACGTTCTCGAAATTCCCTGAACATTGAAGGTAGCTGGTTCGATTCCTCCGTTAAAACTGCTCTTGTTCTGCCTTTTATTTTCTTTCTTTGAATATTTTACAGCTTGCTATAATTGTTTACAATTGGCCCACAATCTTACAGATTTATATATTCTTTATAATAACCTTGTAACTTGTATATAAACCTTGTAACTTTGCTCAGTTAAATGACTTATCCTTAATGAAACTAAAAAAGAGATAACATAAAATTCAGAAGAAAATTTCAAAAAGAAAACTAAAGTTACCACATGTTACCAGAAAATAGGTCAGCAATCTTTATATTTTAGAAGTTTTGGTGGAAGAACAAGATTCCTCTAATTGCATGTTTAAAATGGAAATACAATGTCACTAAACACAGCACATTTGCGTCCATGAGGGAGAATTACAATTTTATTTCCTCCATGTTTTGTGATTTTTAAAAAATTAAATATTTATTATAAGTAGTAGGAATAGTAAAAAGAAAAATAAGCTTGAAAATATAAATTACATGTGAAATAAAGATCATCTTTAAAATATTTAGGTTTATTTATTGTTTGATTGGAATTACATACATTTGCAGGCTAGTGTGCTTAATTTAGGTTTATAAACCTTTGTCAATAGAAGGACAGATAGCACAATACAGAGAAAAACAGCATGAAGATACATCCAGGGTAACAGTGGAATTCGAACCCGCTACCTCCATGCTTTGCACAGCATTTGGCGGGCGATACAGCTCGGATACGGAGGCCCCATATTTTGGTATTTAGAACGAAATATCTTCTTGTTGTTGCAGTTCGTTTACATAGCACTAGAGCTGCATAATGGGCTGTTGGTGACGGTCTGGGAAGCATCCCCGAGGATGATCCGAAGACTTGCCATCACAATTTTGATCCTCTGCAGAGAGGATGGCACCCCCGCTTCGGTAACCCGACGAACTGAACGCGAAGTTGAGCACTTTACGGTAGAGCAGTTTAACGAGGACCAATACCGCACACCCTCAGTCCCTACGCAGACTGATCCAAGTGGTCACCCACTCGCACACTGACCGCAACCAGTGCTGCTTGACTTCGGTGATCTGCTGGGAGCCGTGTCTCAACGATCACTGCGGGACAAACTTTGAACGGTAACGAACTTAGAACCTCTCTTTCAACAAATTTCTTTACTTAGTAGTCCGCTGCGCTACTGACCATTCCACGCTTCATACTGATACTATTATAGTGCATACCAATCCGGTATCTATTTTTAACGCATCCTTTAACATAGAACCAGACTCTGTTCGGCGTCTGGGTGGGAGTATTTACAAGCAGGCAGCATACAAGCACTTATTGTTGAAACTGGAGTCGAGTTTAGCATAGATATTAATCCGGAATTCATTTCGAACTCGCAATCTTCTGATCTAAGATGCATATGCTAAGATACTAATGTACATCAGAAATCATCTTTGATTTGCGCACCAAAATCACAGATCAGAAACTCAGCATTTAACATGGGGCATCGAACCTGAACCACCACATCTACTATGCGACAGAGAATTAATAATCAAGTGAAATACTATAAATCTAAGCAAATATAATTCTCATATTGTAGTTTTATTCTAATTAAAACGCAAGGATTTCAATAATTCTCAAGACATAAAATATTTTGAGATCGTGATGCACAATTTTAAGTAAACTACTGCGAATTCTATAAATATATTTCTAATGTAGTTGGGGAACAATTTAAGTAGAGAAAGTTTCAGTGAACGATAAGTTCTTTAATCCCTCGCCCTAATCGCTCATCATTATTCAGTGAATCTTTTCTTTAAAAGAAATGTAATTGCAAACACAGCAAGTTTACTGCGCTCAAAGGAATTTGAAAGCTCATTTTTCAAAATTTAAAAGTTTGCCGTTCGGGGGGAGAATTTCAGTAAAAAGCAATGCAATTATTCGATAGCTGTAACCGTGATGCCGTTTGAGTATTTCATCATTATCGATATTATTCACATGCTTACGGGAATTGGAGGAAAGAGTTTGAAAAGTTTTTGAGTTCTCTGGGGGATATAGATTTTAACGGAATGAAATGAACGACTCTTGAAAGTGCATCGGAGAAACATAAAATAAAGGTATGCGTGCATTTTATTAAAAATATTATAATTCAGTTTAATTTATTCAACAAATAAAAATAGGTAAAGTTCAGTAGTACTAATTTTTTAGAATCAGCTTGTATCAAGTTATATTTACATCCTTTGCCGTTTTACATATTTGTTCTCGCACGCTTATCTATATAATTGGAATAATTTACTAGTGAGGTTTCTTCTAATTTCTTTTCTATATATAAATTCAAATGACTTATGTTCTAAATTAAGAAATGAAAGTCGAATTTTGAAATATGACTTTCCGTATTCAATACAAAATATTTTCGTTAAAATATAAAATATCAATATTCTAATGTTTTATTCTATAGATTTCTATTTTAAAGCTATTTAAACACATAGCAGAATCTTTGATTCTGTTTAACAAATAGCCCTTAGCCGAATTATGACAGACATAAAATTTGGATTAATCTCTAGTTTAATTTAATCAGAAACCTTTTTAAGGGCTCAAAAACGTGAGAAATTAATGCAATTTATGAAACTACATCTGTTTTATGAGTTTATTTGACATCTGAAAATAGGTTGGATTCTTAAATTTAATTTGCGTTTAAACAGTAATCTGTTGGTATAAATAAATATTTCTGATTGTGAAAAAAACAAACTTTGTTTAAGCGTAAATATTTCTTGTAATTTTAACTATAGTTTTGAATGTTTTGCAGAAAATTTTGTCTAAAATTTATTCAAAAACTGAATATAAGGAAAGATCTTTTAATAAAGAGTATCGTAATGTATACCAAATTCTGATTTGCATACATGTATTTATTATTCTAGCAATTTATTCATTTTTAATTTCTTCACTTATTGCAAAAACCCTTTATATTTTTTAGCAAAATCAAAATTTATATTTTTTGAGGAAAAATGTCTTCTATTTCAAAGATCATCAAATTATGTTCTTTGCTAAATTATATGGTTTCATTTTCCCTAATTAAATTCAAAGTTATGTTTAAAAAATATTTTTTTATTGATCATATTTTTTTAAAATTCAGTGTCAGCGTATCATGATAAAGACAAGTGTATTAAATTTAGAATATATCTACTAGTGTGCTTATTATAAGTGAAAAATATATTTAATGTTTAAATTAAAAATAAAGTTAAATGCAAATACAATTTGTAAAGTTAATATCAAACTTTTTTTTAAACTAATAGCAAAAATCCGAAAAGAATGTAAATTGCAATTTGAAATTAAAACTGTTATTTTAACTATTAGTTATATCAATACTTAATATTCACTAGACCCAATTTTTGATTTCTTTATAAACTAATATATTTGGACACCTAAGCAAACTTATAAAATTGTATAACATCAGATTCAAAAAACGTTTAGCAAAAATCCATTTTTTATTTCTTCGAGAATAAAATAAGGGATGTTTTATGTACATACCTTATTAAAGCCAGCCGTAAAATATATCTTGCATTATTAAAACATTAAAATTTTATAAATTGAAGCAATGCATAATAATGAATATTAAATGGTACTTGAGTACCATATAGTATTCTTGGTATAATATAGTATTCTTGGTACTTAATATTAATTCTAAATACTGGTACGTAATATTAAATACTGGTAATAATACTGGTCTTATAATTAATATTAAATTGTGATTGTATGTTTAGTGAGTAAATGTGATTTGCTCATGTCGCAGGAAATTTGCTTACATTTCTTCCTACAAATTAGGATTTTATTTTTCACTTGTGCAATCCTTTGAAATTTAAATTTTCAATAATTCTATGTACTTCATTACATAATCACTTCTAAATTTTGAAACTTTGAATATACCTTTAAAGTACTTCTGTTTTAATAACTGCTAATTAATACTTAAGTTATGGAAAAATTTATATATTGTGTCCCATTTACTAATTAGTATTTGCTTAAACTGACATCCGTAATTAAAAATACCACGTACCACAAAGTTTTCTAAATTCAAGTTTTAAAGAAATAAGCTTAAAAATTATACATTTACTAAAGATGTTTTGTGTCTGCATTCTGCAAAACTAAATTGATAACTGTGATAACGTTAGCTTTTTATCTCAAAGTACCAGTTGTCACAGCTATAATCTTTCTATTTATACTCTGTAGTGTGTCGACTAGTACAAAAATAAAATTCCAATTCAATAGTATGCAAGACTTGTTAACTAGATTGTATGGTGGAGTACCTTTTCATAGATAAAGGTTGACATTGTCGAATTCTACTCTTTCCACATTGGTGATCTTCGGACGAGAGAACACGCCTACTTTGACAGTAACGCCCACTTTGATTTGAAAGCACCTACCTCGATGGATTGTCCGCATTGGACAGTTTACTTGTGACTGCGACATTATCCATCTCCTCACTACTCAGTCTCGATCTCACACAACGTTAGCCTGCATACACTCGACTGCTAATGGCAACACAAAAGCAACCACGACCGTGTACTTAATACAGCTCTCACGATCAGCAAAAGCAAGGTGATCTTAATACAGCTCTCCCAGTTTCTCGCGAAACAGCAATGATACAACTAGTGGTATCCCTTCATCGAATTCTATCAAAACTATAATTCTGGGGGGGGGGAGTTCTGTAGTATCTACCACTACAAAAATACAATTCCAATTCAATAGTATATAAGAAGTGTTAACTCGATTCTATGGTCGAGTACCTGTTCGTAGATGAAGGTTGACATTGTCGAATTCTACTCTCCCCACAGACACCATATCCGCAAATTAGTTTTTGTGCATTTTCTTGAACAAACATTTTAAAATTAAATGTAGTCATTTGGGCTATACATAACGCTACTTTTCGATTAAAAATATTTGCTCATTTAAGGCAATTCACTTAAAATATAAAATATTGTAAACTTCGGATCAACAGTTATTTTACGTTTAAAATTTTTCTAAAACATTTGTTTTAAGCAAAAATAAAGGATAGAATTTTACCAGGTATTGAAGCTAACCAGTATTAAAAAGTAAATATTGGGCTTAAGTCGCATACCTTAAAATTCTCATATACTGCTTCATTTATTTATAAAAATATTCCAAAAAGCATATTTCCTTTGCATGTTTAAAAATAAAGAACCAGGCTCACCATCATGCGTTTAATTTATGTGGTTTCAGTTGTGTAAGCGACGGCAGATCATTAAGCAGCTGTAACTACTTTTTTTATTAAAATAAAAAGAAAATTTCTTGCGTATTTCAGATAGCAACGTTATCGTCTATTCTAATAATTTGCAAAATTAAATTCAGTAATCTAAAAAGGGACTCAAATTGTCTAAATTCGCCACTAAAGTTGCAGAATAACAAAATCAGTAAGTTTAAAATTTCCATGATAGCAAACAGTTCATTGTTTTAAAGATCCACTTCTGGGTCCAATGTTTCTAGTTTATCTGTGGGTCAACAAGACAGTTGAGAAGTATCTGACCTTTGTTTCGTCGCAATAAAAATAATTTAATATCTGAAAAATCAACTGAAACGTAATGAAGGAAACCACTACCTATCTCGTTCAATTTAAATTTTTAAATAATAGTTACTCTAATACTAAAAATTAGAAAAAATATAATTATATAAAGGTATTTTATTGAGCAACTTTGCCTTGCCCTGTATCTTTGTTTTAATAATGATGGTGTCCATGGTAATTTTTCAAACTTTTTGCTAACTATGTCGAGGGATAAATCATTCGCCTCAAAATGAGGTAACTTANTAGTTTGTCTGTAGGTCAACAAGGCAGTTGAGAAGTATCTGACTTTTGTTTCTTCGCAATAAAAATAATTTAATATCTGAAAAATGAACTGAAGCGTAATGAAGGAAACAACTACCTTATCTCGTTCAATTTAAATTTTTAAATAATAGTTACTCTAATACTAAAAATTAGAAAAAATATAATTATATAAAGGTATTTTATTGAGCAACTTTGCCTTGCCCTGTATCTTTGTTTTAATAATGATGGTGTCCATGGTAATTTTTCAAACTTTTTGCTAACTATGTCGAGGGATAAATCATTCGCCTCAAAATGAGGTAACTTAGGTTCGTGTCCCAACGTTGTCTGGTTAATACGAATTCCGCTCCCTACTCGCTCCTACCACAGTGGTGAATTGAAATGTCTTTGGTGGTAAGCATATCATGGGTTAGAATCCGCTTACCGTCGGTATTATGATGTGAGGGTTTCGTGGTTTTCTTATTCATGTAACACAAATCAGGGTTAGTTCCATCAAAACCTCCCATTAAACCGACGGTAAGCGGATTCTAACCCATGATTCCAAAGAATCATTAAAATATATTTGATAGTTCCATCGAAAAGTCCTCCACGAAGGGTAATTTGTTCTAGCGCTTGATCTAGGAGTTCCCTGGGTCTTCTGATAGTTTGGTTCAAAATTACAAGACTACGGAGTTGTCTGATAGTTGATTGACAGTCGTACAACTCATAATTTTGTCGCCTGCTCAAAGCCGGTTATGAAATATTTTTTTGGTGTATGCGACAAATTCAGTAATTTTAATCATTTTTTAAAAAAATGTTCTAAAATATGCGTATTATCGTATCAAGAAAATTAAAGCATTTTTAATGTGACCATTTTCATTTTCTTAATTTTCAGTCCTTTTTTTTCAGGTAAGATGAAAGCTTACCAGATTTTATTACTCTTTTCACTCTGCGGATTCTCCGTCTCATTATTAGATGAAGAACTTTCACCGAAACCCAAAGGAAACACTAGGAGTGCAAGAAGTTTAGATCTTGGGATACCAAAAGGAGGAACCAAAGAAGATTGGACTGTTCAGCCAGTTAAAATTATAATCAGAGATAAGCCAAATTTAATTAAGGTGCCGCATCCATATCCTGTGAAGCACTACGTTCCCGTACCAAAAGTTGTTCCGGTTTTAAAAAAAGTACCAGTCTTAAAACCACTGCCAGTTCCTTACTTTGTGCCAAAATTCAAACTCATACCGAAGAAAGTTTTGATTCCTAAACCAGTGAAAGTTATAAAAAAGATACCAGTACCAAAACCTTACTTTTACAAGAAAGAAGTTCCCATACCAAAGCCAGTTCCAGTACCAAAGTTGTTTCCAGTCCCAGTACCAAAATTTTACAAAAAGAAAGTACCGGTTCCGGTGCCAAAAAAAGTATTCATTCCTAAGTTTGTACCTATGCCAATCCCTGTACCAAAGGTTGTAAAACAACCCATACATATTGTAATCAAGGAAAAACCAAAGAGGATTCCCGTTCCGAAATTTGTGCCAGTTCCAAAGATTGTAAAATTGCCAAAATTGGTGCCTGTTAAGAAACCTATCTTCATCAAAAAACCGTATCCAGTTCCTCATGTTGTAACCAAAATAAAGCCCATACCGAAATTCGTACCTATTCCAAAGATTGTAAAAGTTCCAAAGTTTATTCCGGTTCCAAGTCCTTACATGAAACCTAAGCCTGTCAAAGTATTTAAACCTTACTTTGTAAAAAAGCCAGTTCCTATTCCAGTTCCAAAACCCTACATTAAGAAAAAGTTTATTCCCGTGCCGAAACCTATACCAGTACCAATATTTAAACCTTTTCCAAAACCAATTCCGAAGATCGTTAAGCAACCTATTCACATTGTTATTAAAGAGAAACCTACATCTGTTCCTGTACCACACCTTGTTCCTATACCGAAAATAGTGAAAATTCCAAAAATTGTTCCAGTTATGAAAAAAATACCTGTACCTAAGAAAGTGCCGATACCTGTTATTGTGAAAAAAGTGAAAATGATTCCTAAAATTGTACCCTATCCAAAAATAGTAAAAATCCCAAAGCCTGTCCCATTTCCAAAGCCGTTCATGGTACCGAAACCTGTGAAAATATATAAGCCAACTTTCTACAAGAAACCAGTTCCAGTGCCTATTCCAAAATTTGTGAAAGTCAAAATACCAATTCCTGTGAAGAAACCAGTGTTTGTTCCTATATTGAAAGCTGTACCGTTTCCAATTCCAAAACCTATCAAGGTTCCTGTTGAAATCATCAGGGAAAAGGCTATCATAAAGAAAGAGCCAGTAAAAATGGAGTAAGTAACAAGTTAAACTATTTCCTTTTTCTGCTTTCATTGCATGTGTTTTAAAAAAATCCCAGAAAATATTCAGATTTTAAATGTCATGTTAAATTTGACCTTTCTAAATTTAAATTTGTTCTTTTTGACGTTTTAGTTTTTTCGCTTTAGAATTACAAAAGCTCTCAAATTTTTAAAATATTTTCATTTGTCATTTTATTTCTAAAGATCACACACATTCGTTTATCATACTACCTTCAACGTGTTAACATTTTTTTTAACTTTTGATTTAAAAGAAATGCATTTCTACATCTTTGCGCAGTTTATTTCTAACCATTCGGAATTGTAGCAGTCTGATATGTGAAAGTCTCTATCTGGTTGAATGGTAGCTTTTTCTGCGCAAAACATTAAAATAAAATATCGTAGTTTTTTACCCCTTTGAAGTTTATTACATCCGTCAAATAAAAAAACTTAAATTTCTTAAATCTTCTGTAAAATGAGTCAAAATTGTCAGTATGTCATTTTTAAAATTCTCTTTGGTTTGAGGAATGATAATTTACTAATTTTATAACTTTATTGTAATACTTAAACATTTGCTAAAACATAAATTTTGTAAAAGTGCTTTTATTTCAGTACTCGTGGTTCACAAGCATTCAGTTGACCACGCTTTTAATTTAGAACTAGGAGGCTCCGCCCCCTGCTCGCTAACGCTCGCCATCCCCCGAGAATTGCTACGCAATCCTATGTGGTTCACGCCGTACACCATGGTTCGCTGCTCTCGCTCGCCAATGAACACAATGTTCTAGCACAAAGACATAATATATTATCATCAAAGACATAGTATTTTATCATCAAAGACATAGTATTGTACTTATGTAGAAGAATTCTACCAATGTTCTTATTGGCTTTTAAAAAAGTATATTAGCTATTTAGATTGTACATGGTGAAAAAATCAAAACATTAGCTAAATAAGAAACATATTAGCAAAATAAATTATCAAATATTGCTTCACTAATATTCTGCATTTTAAAGCGTGAAAATTCAATGCATAAATAAACGCGAAATATAAAAAAATTCAATGCATTCAATACAAACACTTAAACGTTTTTTAGACGTTTAGGTAGCTCCCAGTAGAAAAATATCAATTCAACAGCGGCCTTTTAAAGCATTCTCACTTCAATTAATTAATTAATTCCTAATTGAGTTTAAATTAAATATTGTCATGTTTTTAGTGCATGAATCTGAATTGAACAACCTGATAATGCTCACTCTGGTTATTGTTATCTGGTTGCTCACTACGTGCTCTTGCGCGCCGAATCCAATCAATTAAAAATGAAAACTGTAGCCAGCGCGAGAAAAGAAATATCATCGGTTTTATTGTTTACGTATTAGCGTTTTATATAATATAGATAGATAGTAGGCAGCAAACTTAAATAAAATACGATTTAAAACTCTTAATTTTAATATCAAACGCACCAATACAAATATTTCTTGCATTTTTCTGAAACACGCATACTCTAAACGTTAAAACAAATTTAAGCGTACTAAATTCTGTTCTATCGAGCAAATTTTAAATTCAAGGAACAGATTGCTGTGTAATACTTTTGGAAATAACTCAATATAAGCAGCAAAAATATTTAAATTTTCGAAATGTTTATGAATATATGAATTTTTAACTTTCAGCATCAGTATCTTTACCCTTGTTAAGTGATATCTTTACTTTTTAGATTACATGGGAAAGAACTTGATCCCACCGGTGCAGAAGAAAAATCGTTAGTCGATTTGATCGACAAAGACTTTGGCGTTGGTGAAGACAAGATAAAAGCCATGCTTCTTGAAAGCTTAAAGACAAGCTGAATTGAGTGCAAGTCCAAAACGGATTTCGATAGAATGGACAACTTAAATTGAAAGTTTTCACAGTCCCTGCCAAGTCCTTAATTTTATTTACTCGCTTTAACTAAAAGTGCCAAACAAAGTTTCGCTAACGAAACTTACTGTTTGTTAACTGTATAGTTTTTCCAGTCTGTAAATGTATTCTCGAAATAACTTTTAATACTTATTAGAAATTTTAATTTGAAATAAATTGTTTTACATTGTGTTTTTTAGTTTCTTTAATGCTGATATAAACTTTTTCAGTCACCTCGAACACATTTTGCCGAATTTCGCTAAGTATGAAATATAAATTTTAAAACCTACATTTTTTTCAAGAGACTAAAAATGAATTAGCCACGATGTTATAGATTAGACACTTTCCTCAGTCGGGACTATTGTGAGGGACTGAAGTTTATTCCTCAGGGACTGCTTGATGCCCACCAATCATTAAATCAATGGGTATCAGCTCTTTCGGGAAGTAAAAGTGGCTTGTACGCAATGCTGACCCCCCTTACAGTTCAAGCCTTTCATGAAGTTAAGCATTAACCATCCTGACACCATAGCCCACAATGTGCTGTTGGAGGAATGCTTCTGAAAAATCTTTATGAAATCTAAAACTAAAGACATCTAATTTCTGAAAGAGGTTGGAATTTACAATTTTCAGACTACGAAGTAGTACGAAAGTGATGTGTTTTTAAATTGAACCCCTTAACGATCGGTTAACTTTCACGAAAACTGTCTTAAAAGTGTCTATTTTGCCAAATACACGTATTTGATTAGTGTTAGTAACTAGTTTAAAGTAAACTAACCATTTACAATTACCTTAAAAATATCCTGGTACTGCTCTCTGTTGCGTAAAATGAGAAATAAAATGCTTTCCGGGCAAAAGAAATGAATTAGTTTTATTTTTATTGGCGCATTACTACTGAACACTCCAGCCCGTCAATATCATGGGAGCAAGAAATAGCGAGCGAAAACTTACCCCGTCATTTTCACGGGAGCGAGAAAAAGGGGGTTAATTCCGCGAAAAAAATTCTTGAAGAAAGTTTCATGTTTGTTTAAAAGTAGTCAAATGTTAAATTCCTTTTAGCTACAAAATAGTTATATAAATTCTGCTTGTAATGTTAGAGAAACATTTTAAACTTTCATTGCCCTGCCATACGGAGCTAGAAATTGAAGTGCTCTAGCTAATCTAAAAGTGGTCGGCTTTACTCTATTCCGCACCTCAGGCAAAATTTTAGTAGAACGTAGTAATAAAATATCAGAAGTGAATAAAAAGCATCAGCTCGACTGATTTTTAATAACTATAAAATGTGATTAACACAATTTTAAATCGTAAAGAAATATTTCATAAAATTGATTTTTAAGTATGATATATGATGGGGAATATTGCTGCATTCCATCTGCTGAAACTAGACAACTGCTTCGAGAGCATGTAAATTCCTAAATTTATGGAAAAATTTCGATGGAGAATACCAGATTGTTAAATTGCTTTTTCATGGTAAATTTTAGGATCTCTCAGCAAATGAAGATTTACATATTTTTAAAATCCGTACTTTTTGAGCTTATATTAGACTAAATTGTTTTGTGAATCGCTGCTCGTATGACTAAAATTTAAATTTTTATCAAATTTTCTTCAACAGTAAGTTGAGAGTTGATGTACTAGGTGTCAATTATTGAGCTAAAGGAAAAAACGATAGATTTTTAAACCTTTAGTAAGATTTAATTAAAATTTAGCTAATTGCAGATCACTTAGGTTTTTTAGTAAACACTATTTACTTTTTGGTTAAATGGCAAGATACAGTCTGGTCTTGAAACTTCGACTTTACTTATTTATCTACATTAACTATCTACAGATCTCTCGTGAAATTTAAAATTTGCTCAATCTATGAACTCAGTGACTTTTAATAGTATTTTTTTTATTTCATTAAAGCTAAATTAAAACCTTATAAGATATTGTGCTTTGAGTTTGTTTTAAAATATAAACAAAGTGGCAAGATTTTGGACAAATGATATTACATTTAGAAAATTTTAATAACTATAACTACGATAATTCTAATTCCATTAGCAACTGAAACTAAAATAGTTATTTGCTCAGAAATCTTAATATCCTCTAATAATTTCTTTTTAAATCAACTAAAAATTATGAATTGTAGTTTTTGTAACATTCAGTAGAATAATTGTAATTTATAACAAATTACTTGTCGTTAAGAAACAAATTATTACAAAGTTCTCGATTGCAGGGGAAAGAGGTGTGATACGTGACAAACAATTTTGTTGAGATATACAAGTATTAAAATAAGTCTTCTTACCTTTAAAAATATATTTTTGTAATTGATGAGCAATAAAAAGTCACGTTGATTTTTTTTCGCTTTAATAGAGTTCCATTGAAATTTTTTCGAGTTTATTACGCTTATTTCGAATCTTTTTACCGATCTAAACACATTAATATTTCTTATTTTTCAATTCATGATTTTTTTCATTTTGTCCAATTCACACGGTTCTCAGCAGATCCCCGAAGTGCTCGACTTCGCACGCAGGTCGTTGGGCTACCGAAGCGGGGGTGACATGCAGAGGATCAATATTGGGATGACATGTCTCCGGATCATCCTCCGGGATGTTTCCCAGACCGTCGCCAATAGCCCACTGTGCAGTTCTAGTGCGACGTAAATTAACAACAACAACAACAAGATCCCCGAAGTCAAGCATCACTGACTGCGATCAGTGAGCGGGTGGGTGACCACTTGGATTACTCTGCGTAGGGACCTAGGGTGTGAGTATTGGTCCTCGTTAAACTGTTCTACCGTAAAGTGCTCGACTTCGCGTGCAGGTCGTCGGGCTACCGAAGCGGGGGTGCCATCCCCTCTGAAGAGGATCAAAAATGTGATGGCATGTCTTCGGATTATCCTCAGGGATGTTTTCCAGACCGTCGCCAATAACCCATTATGCAGCTCTAGTGCGACGTAAATTAACTACAACAACAACAATTTTGTCCAATTCATTTTTCATTTTATTATTCTTAAAGTCTGTATTTCATGCTCTTCAATAAAATTCCCCAGCACGTTTTCTTGCGTTTAAAATACAATTGAAATTTTGATGTAGAAATTTCTTTCGCAATATGTCATATTGCATAAAAATAGTTACATCAAGTCCTTTTACAATGAACTATTCTTTAAAAATTTCGATCGGTAGAATTTCAAAATTAAATTCATTATAATAATTAGTGAGAAAAATAGTTCTAAACATTACTTGCTTTTTCATCTAGACATTCCATTTTGAAATGGCTCATGGAAAAGCTTGCGTTTTAATTTTAGACATTCAGAAGTCAATTGAAAACAAATTATCCCGAGAGCATTCCCAGACAGTTATTTGCATTCCAGTTTCATAATTTAAATCTCAATTATCATTTTTACAACAGCAATTTATTTTCTCTAATTTACATCATGCCTTTGAGTTCAGGAGAACTGGTAGCGTTAATTAGTTGACTCTGATAAATTAGTTTCGAAGAGAAATGACATAAAATGTCAGACAAAGCTTAGTTTAAAATTTTTAGCATAATTGTGCTGTCTGTAGAAGTCTGTCTCATAAACTTTTTGGAGGTAATGTTGCGTTAGAACGAAATTTCAAAGCTCATTTTGAATTTTCTCATTAGTATTGTTCTTAACGTTTTTAACAGTAAATTTTTAATAAAAAAATGTCCTGTATAGGTTTTTTTTTACTTATATACTTGTGAAACTATTATATCAGAATTATAAATTATAACTGAATGGATTCTAAAGAGGTAATGAATAGCCTACAGGTTTAATTACAATAGAAAGGTCATTAAAATAACTTGATTAAAGTATTCAATTGAAAATAACTATGTGAGGCTTTTATTTAGAGAGCTATTTGTGACGATCTCTGAAAGATATCTACAATCTCATGTTGCAATAAATCAGAGTGTACTAAAGACTATGCTATCAATGGTTTATTTTCAGAGCTGAAAGTTAAATTAGAAAGAAAAGAATTCTTTTTGAAAAAAACTAAGCATCTCAAACAAACAAGCTTTAAAGTTAACTAATTTTTATAATATAAAATTAAATTCGAACTTAACCCCTCAACGATCGGTTAATTTTCAAGAAAATGATCATAAAGGTGCCTATTTTTCTTTTGACATCCAAACATCCTATGCTGATATCTAGTTTAAAATAAACTATCTACAATTACCTCAAAAATATCCTGGTACTGCCATCTGGTGTGTAAAATGAGAAATAAAATGCTTTCCGGGCAAAAGAAATTAATTAGTTTTATTCTTATTAGCTTGTTACTACTGAAAACTCCAGCCCAGAAATATGACGGGAGCGAGGAATAAAGGGTGAAACCTCACTCCGTCATTTTCACGGGAGCGGGAAGGAAAGGGTTAAGCAAAAAACAAATAAAATTCGAAGTAGTTCTATCGTTCATAATTGGTAAATTTGTTTTTACACATAATTATATCAGTAGGCGTCATTTTTATTGACGCTTAAGTTTATCCTTCTTTCCGATTTTCATGAAAAACCAAGAAAATAAGAACCAAAAAAATAACACTGACTAAAATTAATATCGTTTGCGAAAAATAATATACCTTCGATAACGTTTTGAAGTCAATGGAGGTTATCCCTAAGAACTACCAATTTCCAGTATTGACCATTTTACTGTGGAGCCGAGAGGTTTTACTGTATTATAATGATATATTTCGTGATTATTAAAACAGCATCAATACTAAGCATTTTTAACACCTATACTTTGGAAGTAAGTGTTTTTCGGCCCATGAGAAGGGATATGTACTTGAGAAAATTTTAACTATCATGAGTTAGCATCGAGCAATAGCATCATGACCAAGGATGCTAAATACATTTTATCTCTATTCTAATGGGATAAACTAAAAAAAATGAATTTTGCTAGCTTTAATAACGTATAGCCACCAAAAAGGGCAACAGATGATATTAAATAAAAAAATGAAATTGCTTTAGCTACATTAAATGAAAAACTTAGTGGAAGAACCAGGTAAGGGACATTTTCCGAACGAAAAAAGATGTTGTATCCGAACTATTTTATTACCAATTTATTAGCAGGCGAGACAAATAGTTCTTTGCTTTTTTTTATTTACCTCTCCCCAATTTAAAATAAAAAATCATGCAAGCATACTAAAAACTGATGTGGATCAGTTATGTTAAGAGTTAAGATTAAAGTAAACAGTCCAAAAAG